AAAAAAAAAAAAAAAAAAAAAAAACAGAAGATTCTGAAATCAAACAATCAGACACTTGAAACAAACAGAATGAATGGAATCAAACATATGAAATATGTGTAAAATCTTACATCGCGTTGTCTTCAGATGATGTTGCGCGCGAAGAGGCGTGCCTCTCCGCTGCCATGTTTGAAATGTAGAGGCTTAAACGGAGATGAAAGAAGAATTGGATGCTGAATTGCGGTGCTGAAGGCTTTCGAAACCGTCAGTTAGGCTTTTCCAATTCCGACGATCGGTGATTTCTCCGGAGAGAGAGACTGATTCTTCTGCAACTAATTTCAGCATACGAGTTTTGAATGACGAGTAATAACATTTTTTTTCTTTTTTCTTTTTCTTTTTTTATTTTTATTTTTCAATTCTATGACTTAATTATATATAATTGCTTTAACTTAATTAAAAAAAGAAAAAAAAAGAAAAAAAAAACTACTATTACTTCATGTTGCTGACATCTTTAATTAAATAAAAAAAATTATTATTTTTCTTCAAATTTAATTATTTAAATACCATTAAAAATATTTGAAAATATGATTAATTGAAATGGTTCTAATCTTTTTACGTAATTAGCGATAATAATCAATAATGGTTAAATTTTATTAAAAAAAATTAAAGTGGTATTAAATTATTTCTCTATTAATATATTTGAATAAATAAATTAAATTGCCTTATCAATCTAAAATTCAACTTTTGCACTAAACAAATCCTTGTTATGGAAAATGGTCTAATTTAGAAGTTTTAATTTATTAGAGAAAAAATTTAGAATTTTAAAATATTTAAAAACTAAAGAGAGCTAGTTGAAATTTAGAATTTAGAGACATTTGATTTATCATATTTTTAAATAATATTACATTGAATTTGTGCCATCTGATTTAAAATACGATTTTAAAGGCTCAATTAAAACTATTAATAAAACTTTTTAACACTTAATATATTTTTTTTAAGATTATATTGAATAATTACGAAGCGTCAATCCTATATTTTTTATATAAGTTCACGACCAGCCTTAGGAGAATTAAGCCCCATATATATTTTTCGCCCCAACTTTGTAGTTTTGTCAAACCTTTGATGAGGTTTGCTTCGCCAATTGAACATCTCTTGTGCGGAATTCAAAGTTGTTCGATTACACACGCCGCGCCGCCTACACGTGCATATTCAATCGTCTACGACACAACCGACTTGGCACAGTTGTGAAATTTTTAAGGTTGGATTACCAATCCTACTCGATCCAAAAAATACTCTCAACCCAACGACTTATAAACACTCTTATACAAAAATATTTCAAAAACTAAACTTTACCAACAAAATATATATATATATATATATATATATATATATATATATATATATATATATATATATATATATATATATATATATTTTGTTGGTAAAGTTTAGTTTTTGAAATATTTTTGTATAAGAGTGTTTATAAGTCGTTGGGTTGAGAGTATTTTTTGGATCGAGTAGGATTGGTAATCCAACCTTAAAAATTTCACAACTGTGCCAAGTCGGTTGTGTCGTAGACGATTGAATATGCACGTGTAGGCGGCGCGGCGTGTGTAATCGAACAACTTTGAATTCCGCACAAGAGATGTTCAATTGGCGAAGCAAACCTCATCAAAGGTTTGACAAAACTACAAAGTTGGGGCGAAAAATATATATGGGGCTTAATTCTCCTAAGGCTGGTCGTGAACTTATATAAAAAATATAGGATTGACGCTTCGTAATTATTCAATATAATCTTAAAAAAAATATATTAAGTGTTAAAAAGTTTTATTAATAGTTTTAATTGAGCCTTTAAAATCGTATTTTAAATCAGATGGCACAAATTCAATGTAATATTATTTAAAAATATGATAAATCAAATGTCTCTAAATTCTAAATTTCAACTAGCTCTCTTTAGTTTTTAAATATTTTAAAATTCTAAATTTTTTCTCTAATAAATTAAAACTTCTAAATTAGACCATTTTCCATAACAAGGATTTGTTTAGTGCAAAAGTTGAATTTTAGATTGATAAGGCAATTTAATTTATTTATTCAAATATATTAATAGAGAAATAATTTAATACCACTTTAATTTTTTTTAATAAAATTTAACCATTATTGATTATTATCGCTAATTACGTAAAAAGATTAGAACCATTTCAATTAATCATATTTTCAAATATTTTTAATGGTATTTAAATAATTAAATTTGAAGAAAAATAATAATTTTTTTTATTTAATTAAAGATGTCAGCAACATGAAGTAATAGTAGTTTTTTTTTTCTTTTTTTTTCTTTTTTTAATTAAGTTAAAGCAATTATATATAATTAAGTCATAGAATTGAAAAATAAAAATAAAAAAAGAAAAAGAAAAAAGAAAAAAAATGTTATTACTCGTCATTCAAAACTCGTATGCTGAAATTAGTTGCAGAAGAATCAGTCTCTCTCTCCGGAGAAATCACCGATCGTCGGAATTGGAAAAGCCTAACTGACGGTTTCGAAAGCCTTCAGCACCGCAATTCAGCATCCAATTCTTCTTTCATCTCCGTTTAAGCCTCTACATTTCAAACATGGCAGCGGAGAGGCACGCCT